ATTTTATTGATAAACAAATAGCAATGAGACAGTTTCAAATCAAATTGGTAGGACAGTTTCAATAATTAACACATTGCATACATTCCTCCCAGTAGTTAATTGCTGTACAAGATGCGGACATGATATCTTATCTACGACACCATTAGAAAAAAATCACTGTATTCATTAAGAGAATGTAACTATATATCTATCCTAAAGAAGGATTTCTTTTTCTTTTTTTTTTTTTTGCTCCGAATGCCTTCAGGGCAGGTTTGGCTGGCTTGAGTTGTGGGGATCGAACCACAGCAACCTGAGCCTGACTGCTTTCTTGAAGCAGCCACTTAAAGAACTGAGCTACGGGGCAGGCCCCCAAGTTGGTATATTTTATATTATACAATTCATCACAATTTTTTAAAGGGAAAAGATCATTCAAACACAAGAATACATAACACAGAAGAATAAAAATGAAAGTAACTCATCTTTCCCTAGAAAGTGTGAAATTAGAAAATTACAGAATGGCATGTTTCAAATGTTGAAAGAAAATACAACTGTCACTGTAGAATTTTATACCCTATAAAAAACTTTCTCAAAATGAAAGTGAGGGCCATCCAGACAGCTCAGTGGACTAAAGCGCCTGCTTAGGCAGAGCGCACCCCCAGGGTGCACTGAGATGGCAATTGAGACTGGGTGGGTGGGCATGTGCCTGTAATCCCAGCAATTGGGAGGCTGAAAACAGGAAAATCACTGAGTCTGATCCACTAGTGAGACCCCGTCTGATCCACTAGTGAGGCCCATCCTAAATACATTAAAAAAAAAAAAGAAGGTGAACTCAAGATATTTACAGATCACTGCAAAAAGGAATAACTTTTTTTTTTAACTGGGGGTCCACATGGCAAGAAATGGTAAAGGACACTCTGTGAGCTGCAGAAATCGGGTAGAAACTTCACTGGACAATGTTTAATCTTGGTTTTCAACATTTACCCATATACTATGAATTTATAAGGGGGAAATGTCTTCTATAGTAGTAAATAGCAGATATTTACTATTTCTCTTGGTTTTCTGATTCCCCAAAACCCACATTTCCTGTCGGTTAGCATCCTGCTTCAGCTCAAAGAGCTGAGCATTTGTGACAAGCAGATCTGTCCTAGAAATTCTGTTTTCCCTTTGTCTGAGAATATACTAGCTTTGTTTTTACACTTGAAGCACAGTTTTGCAGGACCTCTGTGTCAGCAGAGGTTTCTGTTTTCCTTTATAACAGTATTGTTATAGCAGAGGTTCTCAGAGTCCACGTCTGACGGCTGTGGCAGCACAGAGCTGTAAACCTAGCACCAAGGAAGGTGGGGAAAGGAGAGCTGCCAGTTTGAGGCCTACTTAGCCTGAGAGGCCCTGCCTCAAAGAGCAAAGAAGTTAAAGCTCACACACAGGTCCTGGGTTCAACCCTTAGCACCACACATATTGTGTACCACACACAAAAAAAGATTATAAATTCCAATCTTTGGATTATCTGTCTTCTGTTAATAATTTCAGACTGCAAACTATCTTTCCTTGTACAATAGTTCAAATCTTAGTTCAGTTCACATAGTCTTTGTTATGCTGGTTTGGGAAACTCGATGTGAGCCTAAGAACGATCTAGTTTCACATGTGATATTCAGAGATCCCATCTCCAGATGTCTCTATTGAGATATCCATGCCTTTCCAGCCTCCAAGGCGCTCTTTTTACATCTCTATGCTCAAAAAAGTGGGGTTTCCCTGAGAGTTTGGGTCCCTTAATCCACTGTGCTGCTTTGTTGTGGGTTCCTGAGGAGGAACATCAACGAGGCAGAAAATGTACCTCTGCAAGGTCCCCCTCCAAGTTTTTGCTTCCCTCTATAATCTTCTTCCTTTTATTTGCTTTTCACAAGTTTTAGGTTTCATGATTTGGACTTTGTTGGATAGCTGTGTCACAGTGGGAGGTACAGTCTAAAGTGGCTTCTGCTCCTGCAGTGGACTTGGAATTTGTAAACTGCTTTCCAAAGTTTCTGCATCTGTCCTAAAGTTCACCATATATTTACTCATAGATTTAAAAAAATTAACATTTAAAAACCTTTGGAAGAGCTGGGCGTGGTGTGCACCCCTGTAATTCCAGCACTCTGGGAGGCTGAGACGAGAGGATCATTGAGAGTTCCAGACCAGCCCAGGCTACAAGGTGAGCTCAAGGGCAGCCTAAGCTGCATAGGGAGACCCTGTCTCAAAAAGACAAAACAAAACAAACAAAATCTTTGGAGACTAGCTCCAAGATCTGGGTTTATTTTGGTCTCTCTCTCCAGATAGGACTTTCTTAACTACAGGTGAGAGTGGAAAAGTGCCTCCCAGGTCACCCCAGCTGGCCACCCTCCACCAAGCCCCAGTGTTCTCCAGCGCCCCTGGACGGTTCTCTTCTGAGACTCCACCCCGGAGTGCATAGATTCTCAAGAGACACAGAAACCATAGTAAGTACCTTCAATTTTGTTTTGTTTCGTACCAGGGATCAAGCTCAGAACCTTACACTTGGCCAGGCAGGCGGTAATGCCATTGAGCTATCTTCCTGGCCTCAGTACCTTCAGTTTTTTAAAAACACTTTTTGCCCAGAGTTTATAATTATTGCAGCAGGCTTGGTAATACTACCATTGTCAGAAACTATGTAGTCTTTCTGAACTTAAGAAAGCTTTCTTCTCACCCTCATTACCTCAGAATTCTGCAAACAATATCGAACTTTTTCTCCCCAAATCTCCACTAGACATCAATCATTATCCTGTTTCCTCATGCACGAATTGTAAACAAAGATGCAGAAAAACACAAATTGGACAAGCATCTAAAACAAGGCTACCTCTTTGACAACATAGAACTGTACGTTCTACTTTCCCCATTCTCTCTTCAACAGATCTGACCACCTTTCCTACGCACCCACGAGGCGCCCTCACCTTCTCTTCAGAGTCAACATGTCGATATAAATGCCCAGGAGAATGCAGAACATGCCAAAGGCTGTGAGAAAGGTAATGAAAGCCTGCTTCAGTAAGTCACAGTAGGAATTGCTTCCAGGGTGGACTTTAGAGGCTTTCCAGCGGACGGTGAGGAAGGCGGCTCCAGCTGCTGACTGAGCAGAGCCACTTGCACAGCTGTCCTCTCATGCTCTGGCTGGAGGACGGGGTGGAGGTGGTGGGTGTCCTACCAGTGAATGCCTCCCGCTCACGGCGTGATCTGCAGCGCTGCGCTGGCACATCTACGTTTACCAGAAAGGCAGACCTCTGGATCCAGGCTAACGCCGAACAGAAAGAACATTTTCACAGACACACATATTTCACATGTACTAATATTACTGGTCTTTAACCAGAATTAGGAATTTAGGATCTTACTTCTCTACTCCCAGGTAATCATGTGTGTAGTAGAGGGGAAGGGGCCCACAAAGGACAACTGGTAATACGTACTGAGTATCTACTACTAGGTACATGAAATTTGTTTTGCCTCTTTTATATTCATTAGTATTCTTCTGAATCATTTATTACCACTCTGGAGATAAAGACCACTGAAGGCCAAGGAGATGAGATGTTCTTCATTATACTACGCTGCCTCAGCTCTGTGGTCCAGGAGAATCAAGTGCTATTTACAGGCTGGCCACCAATTAGTTCAGTGACCTGGGCCAACTCAATCTATCTTTTTTAGAACTCAGTGCTTCATGCGTAGGCTTAGGGATGACAATGAGCCACAGAACGCTCACCTAGAGGGAATGCTGCTGCCTCAGGACAGTAGGTGTTTACGACTCCACAGGACTGCGTGTCAGGAGCCTGCTGTACAGACAAATGATCCACTATAGTCTGAGCAGAGTGGGGCCGGGCAGAGGAGAAAAGCAGAATGTGGAAGAGCTGGGTTCTCCCCCTCTGTCTGCCATTTGTTAGTGGTAAGCCTCAGTTTCCTCACAATGAAACAGTTCAATTATCTCTCAGTGTGGGTAGCTGTTTCAAAAGATACTATGAAAATATTCCCACAGACATGATTTATTAATACTGCCATTTCCTATTTGCCTTAACTTTTATAACATCAATGAGCTATTTCTTAACTTAGGAAGATGGTGTGTATCTGCTTGGCTGTGGCAGCCGTGGGAACTAGCTCTGACAAAGCCCACTGGTCTCTTGGCTCTGTGTGCTTATCCATCCTACCGAGGGTGTCAAAGATAAAACAGTACAGGTTCTGCACCTGTGAGAGAACCACTCGAGTGACAGGAACACAGATCTTTATTCTAGAGAGCAGGGCGCCCACACTCCAGAACTTTCTGTGACGATGGGCACGCTCACATCTGCTCTGCCCAGTGCGGCAGCCCCGCAAGACTTCTGAGCACTCCCACCTGGCTGCTCTAACACTCAAATGATATGCAGACTATCCCTACAGGACGAGGAGCTCCACACAGACGGTTCTAGAGCCAAAGAGAGGCACAGACTCGTTCAATGCTGTTAAGGTTTTACAGCTGTACTCTCTTCTTTAATCACTCACAAAAACTTTAAGTACTGGAACTATCAGGTGACAAAACTTTTTATACAACTTACAAGGAGGCAGAAACTAGGGAATCATCACTTGTGAATGATGGTATGTTTTACGTAGGCAGTGCAAGAGCCCCTACATTATAAATTAAAACCGTCTTTTAAAAAATTGTTTCCTAAAATGTCAACCTTTTATTTATTTTTTATGCCTATACTCTCTTAGGGCCAACAAAAAAATGGACTCCATTATTTTGCAATTCTGAAACTCTATCCCCTGATGCCTAAATCACACAAAATATTTTTATAGGATAATTTTTCAATCAGAAGTTTCTCTTTTACTCAAATTGCCACTTAGTAGGAACACGGATGGTACCAATAAAATGTCAAAGTTACATAAATAAAACTCATAATTGGCTAAAAGCACGTTTGTTTCCATGAAAAGACAGTGTTTTACCCCCTTCAAAACTGAAGGCCGGGGGCTGGGAACACTGCCCTGGAGCGGTCTGCACCGCGGGGCCGGCGCCTGCCTACCTGGCGTTCTCCGTCCTCCGGCTTATGCACTGGTGCAGGTAGAGGTACTCCTGAGGTGCGCTGGTGGACAAGGCAGGCTGCGTGTGGTTTGACGTGGGAGGCTCGAACGTGAACAGGGTTGGCTGGCTGGAGTGCGAAGGGGCGGAGGACTTCCGTTCCCGGAGCAGGTGCTGGCTGGAGCTGCTGAGCTCCGCGGGAGAAGAGCGTGGGCCATGGCTGGCCGCGAGGTTCCTCAGGGAGTCTGCGCAAAGGAGAAAGACCTCCGAGTGAGAAGGGAAAGAGAGGTGTTCTGACCCTCAAGAAAGCTGTCAGAGGGTCAGGGAGCGATGAGAGGTGCTAAGCCAACAACACCGTCTGCATACCCCTGCTTCCTCTGCCCTCCCACAGAGGACGGCTGGGAGCTCCGGGACACCCAGCAGAAAGGGAGAGGCACTCTGTGCCTGTCCCACTCCTGGAGTGCCTCAGGACCTGGGCGGATCTGCTCCACCCCAGGAGGAGGGCGACCTGGCCCCAGGCCAGGTCAGCTTCCAGCTAGTGAGGAGCTACCTCGTGAGGGGATCGGGAGGGAGTCGCACAGCCTTCCTCCTCAGGGGTGGCCCCTGCAGGTGTCACCTCCCTCAGAGCTGTGGTGACTCTGTTACAGGAGGCACCAGGTGATGAACTGAGGCCCTGGTCTGTGCCCTAATGCTTATTGATAAGAGCAAAACAGTTTTTGGAACTGTCCCTGTCTGTGGACCTGCGGTCTTCCTGCTTGCTCTTCCAGGTCCTGTGAGGACAGTGCTGGTCTCCAATCCCCACTACTCTGTCCACTGGTCTTTTCTTTCCTCCCTTAACTCTTATCTTAAACTGTCCTCTGGTGTGTTAGAAAGGAAGTGAGGTGTTAGGGGCAGATATTAACTGAGAGCGCTACACCCTAGGCCCGAGTTATTATTCACTGGCTGGCTCCGTGAGCTTGTCCAAATTCCTAAGGTAACACACAGGGCCTGGTCTATTTCCTGCTTTTCTCCACCCATAAACAAGGCATATGGCAGTATCATTAGTCCCTGCACACACCAGCCTCTTCTGTGATTTTATTTTATTTTTTTTTTTGTTTACATAGTTCCTTCTGCCTCAATTTCATTTCTACTGTCCTGGCAAACTCATACGCGGACCTACAGTCCTACTGGAGATCACCCCTCTTCTCCAAACCTCCTATACTTAATTTTTCTTCTGCTTATGGTTTTGCTTCTGCTTCTATTCCATGGTCACTCTGCCTCCTTGCCTAACCCGTGGGTTTCTGAGAACTTGGGCTGTGATGCTGGTATTTCTTATAGTCCCAACACTTAGCCAGTAAGGATCTTCACAGCAGTTCTTAGTAGAATGAGCAAAACCTTCATTAAATATTCAAAAATCCTAATAGCAAATGTTCTAAAGACGTAAAGGTTTAAACTAAGTTCAGGTGATGCGGGCAATGCCTGGCCAAGTGAGGGTGACTCAAATCGCATCAGAGGGACACAGTGCTTGCTAGTGCCTGTTATCTGGCCTGCCTGGGCTGTGCCCGCTCTCGGCCTAGGAAGGATCCCTAGCTCATCGATGCTCTGCAGTCCTAATTACTCTCCAGTCAGCTTCTGACACTAGGCAGGGCAGCTTCTGCCAGCGTATAAAGCAGCAAAGCTGATGGGCCTCTGGGGAGAAGCTGTTCCACTGCAGCTGCACTGACCCTACAATGAACTCCTGTGATAGCTCTCAAAGTGACCTGGACGTTGGTTAAAAGAATCGATCCCTTTATTACTCCATTAGATTTGCAAGACGAACACTCTAATAGGACGGAGGGTTTATGCTAGGGGACAGAGCAGCCATGGTGTCAGGGGAGGAACAAAGCTGCTGTCTGAGAAGACACAGAAGAGCTCCACGCTGCTCAGCCTTCCTTCCTGGCTCCTATCCAGGTGTCCCACAGCAGGTCATGGTGACAGTTCAAATAGCACCACTGCTATGCTCCTGGTCTCTAAAGCACACCAAAGTCACCATACCATCAGCTCTCCACGTCGGACAGCTAGGCATTAGCTATGCCCACACTGTTTCTCAATGACCATGTCATGGTTTTACTGCCCCACTAAGACTCTTTAATGGCTCCCTGTTAACCTTAACATGACGTACAAAATGCTCTTTCTTTAAAACAATTTTTCTTGGGGCCAGGGAGATGGCTCAGTGGAATAAGTGCTTCCCTGGCAAGTGCAAGGGCCTGAGTTCAATCCCTGGTTGTGCCAAAAAAAAAAAAAAAAAAAAAAAAAGCCAATGATTTTTCTGTTTATTTTTTCAAACTTGCTTCTTCAGGATCTTACTATGCAGTGCAGGCTGGCCTTGAGCTCGCTTTGTAGCCCAGGCTGATCTCAAATCACAAGGCTCCTTCTGCCTCAGCCTCCCCAGTGCTGGGATTACAGGCGTGCACCACCGTGCCTGGCTTCAAACCGCAGAGGACTTTCCAGAGGAACATACTGACCTCTCTCTCCTCACTGCATGTGTCAGGTTGAGGTCAGTAAGGGGAAGAGATTCTCTTTTCTAGCGGTTCTATTCCCACTATTAAGTCCAAGAGGACAGAGAACTTAATGATATTTGTTGAACAAATAAAATATGTAGCATAATAAGTCATTATTCCCTTCGCACTACCACTGGCTACCTACTATCTTCAGAATAAAGCTCAAGCCCCCCAGTTTGGTAACAAAGGAACTTTGTCATACCCTGGCTATTCTGTCTGGTCATCCAGGGTGTTGCCTTCACGCTCCCTGTGCTGAGTGGGTGGGCTGTGAGTCTGCAGCCCTTTGCCTGAAGGAGCTAGGGCTGTAAAATCATCCCAGCCCATCCCAGTCTATTCGCTGCTAGACCTCTGTGAAGTCACTTCACCTGTTATGAGTCTGTTCCCCGGCCAGTGGAGATGGCTCAGTAGAATAAGCGCTTCCCTGGCAAGTACATGGGTCTGAGTTCAATCCCCGGTAATCTCTTTCCCTATTTACCAATCAACATAGGGTAGTTACTAGATATAAACAACTGTGTTTGTCACAGGTATGCAAAATATGTTCTAATCACTTTTGTATCCCTGAACCTAGAACTGTCCCACCAACAGCAGGTGCTCAATACATCTTTTTTTTTTAAGTATTTAGTAAGGGTGTACAGAGTCTCACTACACAGATCGAACTCATAGTGATCCTTCCTGTTTTTAGCCTCCCAAGCACTGGGATTACAGGTGCACGCCACCACGCCCAGTCTCAATCGCTGTCTTAGCGTGCCCCAGGGGGTGGGGCCGGCAAGGCAGGCGGGGATCAAACCCCTAGGCCCCCTAGTCTGCCTACACAGGTGCTTTAATCTGCTGAGCTGTCTGGCCAGCCCCCAGTCCATCTTTAGTGAATGAATATACTAAATAAAGAATTTTTCCTGACACAAAAATTCAAATGAAAGCATTAAAACATTTATGTACTTCACATTCCGATGAAGTAGAGAGTTCAGGTAAGTTGGTTCTTCAGATAATAGCTTCTATTCTGTCACTGCAAAGCTATCCCTATGAAATGAGCCAGTTCCATGTAAAGGTCTGTGACTCTAGAATTCTGTCAAAGCTGGGGTTTGTTTGTTTGTTTTGTTTTTGTTTTTTGTCTTTGAGACAGGGTCTCACTACACAGTTCAGGCTGGCCTTAAGCTCACTTTGTAGCCCAGGCCAGTCTCAAATCACAAAGACCTTTCTGCATCAGCTCCTGAGTGCTGGGATTATAGATGTGCACCACCATGACTGGCTTTAAAGTTTTTTTTTTTTTTTGGAACTAGGGATTGAACTCAGGCCCTTGTGCTTGCCAGGCAAGCACTTATTCCACTGAGCCATCTCCCCAGCCCCTTCAAAGTTGTTTTTGATGCTAAACTTTGCTAAAATCCTACTTCTGTTTGCAATTTTAAAAGGCCTGAATTTAGGGCCTATACTGGGTATAATAGTACCTTCCCATTACTCATGTTTGCCTGGGCCTTAGAATATGACTTTACTTGAAAATAGGTCTTTGTAGATATAATTAGTCAAGAAAAAAATCATACTGGACTGGGGGAGGCCTAGTCCCATGACTGCCCCCTCCCCCAATAAAACAGACACAGACAGGGAAACAAAGGGGAAACACCAAATGAGGACAAAGGAGGTGATCAGAGTGACAGGTGTGCAAGCCAGAGAGTGCCAAGAGTGTTGGCAGTCACCAGGAACTGAGAGGGAAGTACAGACTCTTCCTCAGAGCACCCAGAAAGAATCAACAGTGCAAACACTTCAATTTTGGACAAAGCACCTCCAGAATTGTCAGATAATTTATTTTTGTTGTTTCAATCTACCCAGTTTGTGATAACTTGTTATGGCAGTTCTAAAAATCCAGTACATTGCTATAAAACCCAAACTTCATCCAAGGTCTTCTAGCTTGTTCCCGGAAAAATAATTATAAAATTGAATGCAGAGACCATTTTTCTGAACTAAGGTATTCCCATTTTAGACTCTGTACACAATACCTCTGCTCCCTGGGGCCCCTATCTGGTAGGCATCCTGGGTCTGGTTCTCATGGCCTCTACCAAGGGTCTGGGAGGAGCGACGTCCACTGTCCCCACCAGCTGGCGGCAGGAACTCGGGCCAGATGGGCGCTGAGCCCCTGTACTTGGCTCCCAGGAAGCTGTTCCCTTCAGATGGTAATTGCCTTTGCTAAGTGGAATGTGTTTTACATCTACATTCTGGACAGGGCTGATTCAAAGCTCTCTCGTCACTGCGTGTCACATCCTATAATAAAAGTTCTCAGAAATATTTCCAAATATTTAGCAGAACAAAAGCTCCACCGTATTATATAATAGGGAAAAAATTAGCAACTGGGAGATCTGACTCTTTGTGGATCTGTCTTTCGCTTGCTATTTGTTCTTGAGCAAGTCACTTAGCCTCAGTTGCCTTCTTTGTAAAAAAGGAACTATTACCAATTGTCCTGTTATGGAGCCTTACTAGGTGGATTGATTTAAAAACATCCCGTCTCCCAAAACACTGGTACATGGATGTCTATAACATCACCCTTCACAACAGCTGAAAAGCAGAAATATCCCCAAAGACCATCAACTGTGAATGGCTACACAAAACATGACACATCCACAAAGTGAGTTATTATTCATCCATATAAATGAATGAAACACTGATATACTACTTCGATGAACCTCCAAAATAGTGTGCTCATCATAAAGGGCCATGGACTGTGTGGTTTCATGTACACAGAATGTCTGGACAGGGCAGATCACAGAGTGGTGACCACTTGGAAGGATCAGGCAAATGGGAGAGGAGCGTGACCACTGATGAGCATGGGGCTTCCTGGTGGCCACAGCAAAGTTTTAAGATAAGATCATGGTAATGGTCATACCATGTGAATACTAAAAACCACTGAACTGCATGCTTTAAATGAGTGAGTTTTGGGTCAGGGAGATAGCTCAGTGGAGTACGCGCCTGCCTGGCAAGTACAAGGTCCTGAGTTTAGTATCTGGTACTGCAAAAAACAAAAAAAGAGTGGGTCTTATGATAGGGGAAATACATCGCAGTAAAGCTTTAAACATATATGCCTACTTTAACCTTTCCTCGAAAAGTGAAAGTCATCATTTGACACTTGGCTCCACCTGTCAGTGTATACTTTACAGAAGTCAACATTAGGAAGGGTGATGTGGACGGTCTGTGTTCCTGTGAAGAACAAAGCTGTCTGCAGAGCATCTTCCTGTAGAAAGCAAGAGACTCTTAGAGGAAACAAAAGCCAGAATCAGAAAATGTCAACATAGGTCCCACACAAACAAATCTGATAAAAGAATGTTCACAGCATTATCCATTATAGTCAAAAACGTGCAAACAATACAAATACCTATCAACTGATTAATCAATAAAATGTGGAATATTCTATACAATGGAGTGTTATTCAGTACTAAAAAGTATAAAGCATTGGCTGGGGATGTAGCTCAGAGGTACAAGTGCCTGCCTGGCAAGTGCAAGGTTCTGAGTGTGATTCCGGATATCAAACCCCACAAACAAAAACAAAACTCAAAGAATACAGCATTGATAGGTTATAACATATATTAATCTTGAAAACATTATGCTAAGTGGAAATAAGCTGGATTCCACTATATGAAATGCTATAATTGCAAAATGTGGAGACACAAAGTACTCTAGTGGTTGCCTATGCATGGGTAAGGGAGAAGGAACAGGAAGTACCTGCCAATTCATATGGGGCTTGCTTGTGGGATGATGAAAATGTTTGGAATTAGACCGAGGTAATGTTTCTGCAGCTGTGTGGCTATACTGAGAAGTACTGACTTGTACACTTTAAATGGGCTTTTAAGAGAATACAGCTCTTTGAAAACTCTGAAGGAGAATAACAGCAAGTAATCTAGTAAAGTACATTTGACCTTTAGTTTTTATGTTGTTTCTGAAATAAAAACTGTACCCAGCCAGTGCAAAGCCCTTATAGCACTGTGCTCCACGGCGCACACAGCTTCCTTCCTGTCTCCTGGGCCTCCTGGTCACCTTCTGTCAGCTCACTTTTTAGATTTTCACGCCATCATCACAGCAGAGAAGTATAAATTTCAGTAAAAGAAAGAACAAACATAATATGAAGGCAAAAGCTCAAGTAGACTGAACTTCCACCTCCCAGTGTAAAAGCCTCCCTCGTGCACACGACAGAAGCCAGGATACCAGTCCCGGGTCCAGTTCTGCCTCTAGTTAGCTATGAAATCACGCACAGGTCTCTCTGAGGTGCAGATCATACCTATCAATCTAGGAGGATAACCCCTGGCCTGCCTATGGTCTCAGTGGCTTGTTTTAAGAGCTAAGTGAGATAAGGACACAAAAATAAACCTGCGTACAAACATACAATGCTTGCAGGGCGTGGTGGAACACACCTGTAATCCCAGCCTCAGGAGGCTGAAGTGGGAGGATCACTTTTGGAGACCAGCCTGGGCTACAAAGTGAGCTCAAGGCCAGCTTGAAATGCATATTGAGGCCCTGTCTTGAAAAAAGTTAATAGAATTTGTTATTACCGTGAAGGCAATGAAAAAGTAGCACAAATAAAGGATAACATTAAGTGAAGTATGCTTAAGCTGGTTTTGGTCCTAGACAGTAAGGTTGTTACAATGACATAGCTTGGGTCATTCGGGCCAGTTATACAGCAAAAAGAAAATGGAGGCATCCAGACTCCTGGCTTGGGCTTCTATCTCTATGTCTAGACTAAAGATAATGCCCACAAATGCTTGAGTCCATTTGTTTTCTTTGAAGCAGGGTTTTATTTTTTCCTTTTCTTCCAGCCTCTTTTTTAGGTTCCTACAAAAGCACTCCCCTTCCTTTCTACAATCACCCCTGGGAAGCCTGCCCAACATACAAGTACTCCTTCTACCTTCTTGCAGAATTCTAGAACAGGGAAGCACTGAAGGATTTCAGCAGAGGATTCAGCCCAGGCCAGGCCAGCCATCCACTGGCCGGCGATAACAGGCAGGAAAGGGGAGGCTGGCGGGAGTTGCTGGAAAAGATGACTGGCCAAGTAATGACTAGTTCCCTTATCTCAATGGCATTTTTATCTTTATCCCTTCCCCAAAACAATCTCCACCCTCAAGACTGTGAGTCTGCAAACCCAGAAAGTGGTGGCCCAAAGAACTTCTTGGAGCCCAGGCTGGATTCAGTCTGGCTCTGCTGACTGAAAGCTCTGTGGCCGTGGCCACGCTTTGACTACTCGGATTCTCACCTGTTTGACGAGGAACACAAAGACTTCGCAGGGCTGCTCCAAGGATCAGAAATCACTTCATGCAACACACTTAGCACAGTGCTCAGTGGCTCTCACTGCTTCTCTGCTGGAGTACACACAGAACTGGAAGGCCCTGAGATTGGCCACAAGGTACAAGTGGGTGCTTAGAAGGCAAAAGTCACTGCTTTAGTTATGAATACACCCTGCACAGAAGCTACACAGAGGATGAATGAGAACCAAAGGATAATATGGACTATAATGATCAACTGCCCTCTACTCAGCACCTCTTATGTCTACCCCTCATGCAGAAACGGACAGAGAAGTCAATGAACTCTGGAACACAGCTAGAAAATGGTAAAGCCTTGATCTGAAAAACACTGTGTAAGTCTCATGGTACTGGGGACTGCCCTCAAGTCCTCCTGCATGCTAGGCAAGTGCCCTACTTCTGACTTATATCCCTGTCCCCTTAAAAAACTTTCACTTTGATAATTTTTTTAAACAATGATAAATAATCACAAACACATGCACACAAATCCATTTTGTGACAAGGTCTCACTAAGATGCCCAGGTTGGCCTTAGTCTCCCAAGTAGCTGGGTTTATAGGTCTACATCATTGTGCTTCTCAACTTTTTTTTTTAACCTGTGTAGGGAACAAGCTCCCTATGAGGTGAATAGTGTCAGCTTAGTGGGAGGCAAAGTCAAGAACCAAAATGAAAGTCTATGCCTGGGTTACCTGCTGGTTGGTGGAGAGAATTTATGCATGCTGTGCCTTATATCTTACTGTGCCTTATTTTCTCCAAAAAAGGAACAACTTGGATTAGATCAACTGGGATTAGATCATTGAGAAACTTAAATACAGAAAATTGATCCCAATGAAGATTGATCAATTATGATTAAGATTAAGATCCATGGGTTTGGTTTTAATAATTCTTGATTGCTACCTGCTGGCACAGAGATAAAAGGCTAGAGTTGGCTCAAAGTTAAATGGCAAAGCAGCCTCTGAAAGTTAAGTGAAAAAACAAGCCCCAACTTTTCTTCATAATTTTATTGGCCCTTCCTATCATTTGTAAGGATTTTTTTTTTTTTTTCTCCTCAAATGCCTGCAGGGCACTTTTGGCTGGCTGGCGTGTTGTGGGGCTCGAACTCCAGCAACCTGAGGCTGACAGCGTTGTGGAAGCAGCCACTTAAAGGACTGAGCTAGGGCCAGGACCCCCTTCCTATCATTTGTTTACTGCAAAGTTCAAAGGAGCAATGTGTAATAAAAAGAATCCTGATGTGTACTTCCCAGAAGTATGGGAGTCCAGATCTGAGGACTTGGGAAATACGTTTGTTACTTTGCTTTTTGAGACAGTGTCTGGCTATGCAGTTGAGACTGACCTTGAACTTGTGGCAGCCCTCCTGCTTTAGCCTTCCCAAATGCTGAGGTTACAGGCATGTACCACCATACCTGGCCAGGAAAAGCTTTTAATTTCTTCCTATCTCTCATTTATCACATTATCAAATGTTAAAGAGAATGCCTACAGGTTATTTTTTTTTAAGGATTTGGTGTGATGAAATTTAAGTAACTATTAACTCAGTAAAGGTTGTAACTCAATAGGAACTTAGTCAGTGGCTGTAGGCTTGATGCTTGTCTCATCAGTCCAGAAGTTGACTGATGGTAACATTCTAAGGGCTCAATGGGGGGAAGGGGACTGACAAAGAACTCTGAAAACAGAGTGGTACAGGATCCTAAAAGGTGGGTGCTACCTGTGGAGACAATGGTGGCTAGCTGGACAGACAGCACTCTACAGTGACAGCATGTGACAGGCCTTCGCAGTGAGCTGCTCCAGATCATTCTCACCAGCTTGACGTGTTTAAAGAAGGAATAATCCTCAAAATCTTCTACATGCCATAATTAGAGGAGCAATTCATAACTTCTAGAACACGGGATAGTTCTATTCTGCACGGGACTCACATAAAGTGGCAATTAGAAGGGTCCTTGGAGCGAAGTCCTTGTCTGTCGCCACTGTTTTCCCTCTACTCTTCTCTCTCGACCACAGCTGGAGACTGTGGCCCAGAGAAGGAAGACTGCTCATCCAACCAGGGTTGGACAAGGCATCAGAAGACACTGGAATCAGGATTCCAGCCTCCTAGTCTTGGGCATGGTTCCCTGTACCAAAAGAAAATTGTCTTATTGTGAATGAGGATGCATGTTCTACAATATGTGCATGTGCGTTTGAACCAAGTCATAAGATCTGGTTGCCAAGACCCCAGCTGACTGAACAGTTATTCTATTATGAGCTTATGATGTTACTCATATTTGCATGGTAAGTAAACACATGCTGGATCAAACTATTAAAGGGTACCATAAATAATTTTCCAAGTTAAAAAGCATAAGTTCCCTAGTGTTTATAAAACAAAACTATGAAACAGGAAGAAGAAAGAGGCAGCAGTCACATGCGATCCCATGAGACCTTTGAGCAACTAGGACTCTCCACCCACTTGGGGAAGAATCAGAAAGACCCGTTCAGTGCCCAGGAGGGCCAAAGCAGCATATCCTGATTTTGGAGCACAAGGCCTCACGGTGCCGCTAGTAGAAACGGATTCTGCGAAGGGCACAGAGCAAAGGACATGAGTGGCTGTGGTCAGTGGGTCAGTGAGAGGCACAGTCCCTAGGGCACACCCCCACAGAGCTTTCTGGGTCCTGGAGCATCTCACCCTAGCAATGCAAATATCTTGTCCTCCAGGGAGAGTTAGTTAGGCTTTCTTTTATCACTTTTACAATACTTAATTTTGCCACTTATTATAGTTGGGAATTCACAAATTTGTCACATAAAATGAGACCGAGCGCTGTTAGAAGCAAAGGTCAGATCATCCCTATTTTTCAGCAGTGTTCAGCACAATGTTCTATGCCTTGTAAACAATGAGATTTGAACAAGAAAATATTCAATAAACATACATGGCAGTAAGTCAGAATCTTTCCTCTCCGGGTCAGAAGAATGACTAGCTCCAGAACTAAGCGAGTGTGAACTTCTGTTTAGGGTACAAGGAACTGTTCTCCTTCTGAGGTTTTCTGGCTTGTGTTTCTATAGCTTTGGGCCCCATGTCTACAATTAGCTATGTACTGTGCTGTTCACTTCACAGAGATCAAGTTACAAGCTTTATTCTCACCTTACCTGACACATCTACCAAATGCCTCAGCTGTGGTGAACCCTTCCCTCGTGTGTGCCCTGGATTGGTTAGTTGACTTTTCTTTTCTTTCCTTCCTTCCTTCCTTTTTTTTTTTTTTTGTCTTTTAAGACAGGATTTTGCTGCTTAGGCAGACAGAGAGGCCAGGGTTTAATCCGCACCTGCTGTGCTGGCCCTGTTCCCAGGGCCTGCTGAGAGTGGGCATAGTAGTGTGTACCTATAATCCCAGAGCTTGGGAGGCTGAAAAACAGGAAGGATCACCATGAGTCGGTCTGTGTAGTGAGACCCTATAGACCCTGTACTAAATACATTAAAAAAAAAAAAAAAAAAAAAAAAGACAAGATTTTGCTGTGCATTCAGGCTAGCCTTAAATTCACTTTCTAGGCCAGGCTGGAAACTCACACACAGAGATCCTCCTGCCTCAGCATCCCTCATGCTGGGAATCTAAGCATGTTCCACTATGCCTAGCAATCCTCCTCCTTTGGAATGAAGCATTCTTGTCATGTTCTTACGTTCACTAGTATTTATTATATGTACTACACTAAGAGCTGCAGGCCAGTCTGACATGGCACATCTTGTCCTTCCTGTACGTATGTATGTATTTTTGCTGTATGAATTCACGTTGCATTTGGAAAGAGCAAACTTACAGGGCAGCAATTCCACCTTTTCCCAAGGAACTCTGGGAATCAATCTACCCAGTATCCAGTGGGTATATAAGTTAGTATTTCACCAGTGCACCTGATCCTTATAATCTTTCCACAAAAATATCAAAAGTATATTCCTGTATTTTTAGTTCTTCTGGGAAGACACCCAGAAGGAGGAAAGCTGGGTCACAAGGGTCCTCTACTCCTAGCCTTTTGTGGAATCTTCACTGATTGCCACAGTAGTTGTGCTACTGTGCACTCTGTATTTTTAAGCCTGACCACCTTTATGAGAGGATCTTTCTTCTCCTCCTTTCACAGAGACTCTAAGAGATAACCAGCAATTGATGTAAAACAAGTGTCAATCATAATCACTGGAGCTTGTCAAGACTCATTAGCAGTGAATAATCACAAGAACGATACTTTAAACAAATCACTCTGCATGGTGAGGCTGGGATTCTAAGAGCGCC